AAATAAAATAAAAAATTAGATGCATATTTTGACGATTTTGACTGCATATTTCGATAATTTTTAGTGCAAGAAGTCCCGAACCCTAATAATCATAATCTTTATACGCTTACACTGCACTATGTAGAATGCGGCTATTACACCCACTCCCTCCTTCTCTCACCTATCTCAGAGTCAAGAACAACTAGAAAACATAATTATCTAATGAAAATATGTCGTCGTTAGCTTTAATGTCTATTTAGAATACTCGTATAGTCCTAAAAAATATAGATTGAAATAATATTATTAAAAATTTTACTATAAAAAAAGCTAGAAAATAGTTGTACACTTCTTATATTGAATACATTTGTATTAAAATGTTTTTATTTAGTACCTACCTAATAAGGTCTATAAATTTAAAAACTACCGATGTTACAATATGTTTATAATATATTAATTAAACAATCTTAATTATTTTGTTACTTGTTGTGTATACATTTATATATTGGCTTGTGGAGGGGGTTGAAGGGCAGAATTTTAATATCTACCCTCATGCAATAAATTTGTTAACCCGGAACTGTTAATCACGTTTAAGAAGTATATGATGTTAACTTACGTTCGAATAACAAGAACGCAATATTCATTAACTAGAGTAACTGTGGGAGACAAATCTACGTTTTGCATTGGGAAGGGGTGAAGGGATGTACCATCTCGGTGGTTTATGAGAAAATTATTTAAATAGAAGAGTTTTTTTTAAAGAAAAAAAAGAAGAAAAAGTATTAGAAAAGTTTCGCTTGTTCAATGGACTTCTGGTGACATTTGTAGATAAATGAGCGAGGTATTTTCGATACAAGGTTTTGATCGCAAAGCACTTACATATTTTATTTATACATATTTTTTCCTACTATATCATTAATCATGAGTCTGTGTTATTATCGACGTGCTATGATGTAATAAATTATATTATATTATTCCGAGAATATTTACACAGAATCAACTATTATAGTATATTCACATCAAATCCATTTAACTCTACACTATATTTCACATTATTATTTAATGCACGATTTGCAATGTTCTAAGAGTTATTTATTCAGCAGCGACGAACATTACAGTAAGAAATAAGATATGTAAATTGAATAATTCAATATATAATAATTCAATAATACAATTTTATATTTTGCTCAATATGTTTTACGAATAATAAATTATGATTCTATCAATTATGGCTAGGAACACACGGACGTTATTTTACCACGTGATATGTTTACCACGGAAAGATCTCACGGCTCGTTTTCTTTAAATTCTTTCAAATAAATTCAGTACTATACACGAGTGTTGCACCGTAAAATGAAAGTGCGACAATTTGAAAACTGTAGCGTGTACCTTGACTTACCGCACGATAAGAACTTCTTGTCAAAATACATTAAAATGTGAAAAGCACACGTGCTGTAATAAAACACACGACCGATTATAATTTTATTTTCAATATTTATTCATTCATCATTTGTCCATCAAGTATCAACAGTCAACATGTCATCAAAGGAATGTTTGATTAAATCTGAAAATACGTACTTACATAATTGGTAACATAAAAAAAAAAATAAGCCAATGTCGATGGGATGGGATGAAAAAAAAATAAAAAAAAATAAATTTATCACTGGATATCTGGATTTTCAACCGTCAAATTAAATGCACCATTAGAAGGATGTGTCATATTTAAAGGGTGTGTTTACATCATTCTAATAACATTTATTTTATTTTCATTAAGAAGTTGATAACTCAAAAACAAAATATTTTCATCTGCTATGTTATTGAAACATAGATTCATACTAAATAGAAGTAAATATTAGTTATAATTACTCATATAAATGTTTATCGAAAATATCGTAGTCACCGTAAAACAACGCGTCGTAAGTAAACGATCGCGTATAGTTAAAAATATCACGTGGTAAAATAACGCCGTGTTTTCTTAGCCTTACGACTGTTTATTTATTATTTTTTCAATAACATAAAATCTACGAGTAGATAGTAGAATATCTAGGTTTTTTTTGTTGTTAAGCTCAAAATAATCCGTAATTTGTTTATGATCCTACGTAACGACGATAATCGCAACACAACAACTTGGATTATCCTAGTTGATTTGAAAAACAAATACTTAAGTAATTAAAACTGTATTCGATATTTTCTATTTGATCACGTTTAGATTACTAATAAATATATACATAATTTTAACTTATAAGTGCTGTGTACATCGACATGATGAATACATTTTAGCCACCACAAAAGAGATTTGTAACTGAAATATTTTATTAATTTTTTTATTTTTATTTTTTTTTTTAATTGAATTTTTGCAGTAGCGAACATTATTTTCTATAATATTAATTTTTCGCTCATCACTAAGCTCAATACCGCTTGATATCCGCTCCAACGCACATGGTTGTTCTACCTATACCCATTTCATGTAATTACTTAACTTATTTGTATCCTATCTTTCACCGATAAGTGCACTCATCAATATCTAACACAGTATTAATATTTTTTCTCTTTTCTCTAATATTGTACCCTATCAAAATTGTCTTATTTAATCGAATAATTGTAACATTTATTCTTTGTAGTTGTTGAGCTATAATAGTTTATACTAATAGCTAATAAAAAAAATTAAAAAAATAATAACCATCGCAGTGTTAGATGCTAAGTTCTAATCGATATCTTTATAACGCATATTATTATGTCGCGTGGGTGACGTTTTAACGATGCGTATACTACGCATGTACTTCCGGACGTTCCATTGCACGATAGTTTACTCCTATTTCGTGGCGTAACGAAATTTCGTCACAATTTACGACGTCTAGACGTTTTAATGTAAAGTTTTATGAATATGCACCACGTGGTTCGTATATTCATGGTAAGGTTGTAAATATATATATATCAGACACACTATTTACTTGCAAAAATGTCCGTTGTATACGTCTGAGCATATTTAAATATTATTATAACATTATTTATTAAATATCAGATGATAGTAACAGACATACGAACAACATCCTGAACACATAATTCTATATTTTCTATCACTATATCCCGTATAGATATTACATATAATATGAACGTAATGTGTCAAATGAAACCAAAATTATTTTTACATATAAATTTACATCAATTTCACTAAATTTTAACAAATAAAATAATTACAGTTATTGCAGTATTCTTGCGCAAAACGAATTAATATTATCATAATTTAAATTTTAAATTTGAGGAGACAACTCATGAAAGTTTATAAAAATATCACATTATTAGGGTTTTCTTCTAATATTGTACAAATATTTTGAAGTAGAAATTACAATTGTTCCGTGTGATGATTTTTAAGAAACTCCGCATATTAAATTCCAAACATTTGACATGATATCAATATGGATAAATTGTACCTAGTGTTCCTTATACAATGAAACCAGACAACCAAAGGAGTGACTTTATGTTCTTTCAAAAATTGAATGGGTATCATAAGTTTACAAACAAAAAACTGTCTGCAAAGATTGCATCTTAACCGATCACACAGGTGATAAATGAATCCCATTTAAAAACAGGAATCACTTGAAATGCAATTTACCACCAAAAACATAAAAACTCACAACTTTCATTAATAATGTTTATTAACCTTTTATCTGATACATTTTAACCTAAACCTCGAAGTTATTGCTGTTTACATACAACTCAAAAACCTGTTTGTCTTTGTAATATCCATCTACCCGACAACATTAATCTTTTACTCAATGATCTCAACCATATTATTAAACAACTACCAAAACCTTTCTTATTTCTCGGAGATTTCAATAGCCGAAACCAAATCTGGGGATCTAACAATACTGACACTAGAGGTAAAACGATCGAAAAATTTTTAGAAAATGAACAAACGCTACTCAATACTAGAGAATATACACGCCACAATGCAGCTCATAACTCCTTCTCGGTTATTGACCCCACAATATCTAATAGTGCTTTCGCTCCCAAAACCGAATGGAAAGTTCTTACAGAATACAGCTCCAGTGACCATTGGCCGATATCTATTAATATATCGCCCAAGATACACCCAACCTCCCGGTGGTGTCTTGATAATCCAAATTGGGACTTATACAGCGATACCATATTACAAAATCTTCGTGACATGCCGATCAACCTGGTATCCATAACGAACCAAACTCAAATCAATTTAACTATTAACCATTTTTGCAACATTTTCCTAGAAGCTGCCAATAAGACTATTGGCAGATGCAATACACAATTAAAAAAAAAAAAAAAGTTCCCTGGTGGAACAAAGAATGTAACGACTCAATAAAAACTTATAAAAAAGCATTAAATAGATCCAAAAAAAAAAAACTAATTGACGACCATATAAACTTAAAAAAAGCTTGTGCACATGTAAAATTCATTACAAAAAAAAGTAAAATAGAATCGTGGCAAAATTATACCAGCTCAATAATCTCTAACACATCTATGGAAATGTGGAACAAAATCAAATCCATCAAGGGCATTAAACACCAACAACTTCCTCCAAACATAAGATATAATAACAATACACTCTCACTACCTTTAGATATTACAGATGCTTTTGCAAAACATTTTAGAAAAGAACAGCGATTACTCAAACTACAATCCCGAGTTTATAAACTTCAAAAATACTGCTGAAGATATTTTCAGAAATGAACTTGAAATTAATTTCCAACATCAAGATAACCACTTAAACACACTTTTTAGCAAAAAAGAACTCCTAAATGCCTTATCTGGATTTAAAACCAAAAGCCCCGGCCCAGACGGGATTCCTTTTTCTTTCATCCAAAACCTCCCTTCAATAGGTCACGATCTTCTTCTCCAAATTTTTAATATTATTTGGGACCAATGCCTGAACCTGATCAGTGGTACAACGCGATCATAATCCCAATTCCTAAATCTAACAAAAACAATTTTAATATTATCAATTATAGACCTATTTCACTTATTAACACAATAGCTAAAACCATAGAAAAATGTTCAATAAACGACTAATGTGGCACTTAAAAACATCTAATCTACTAACCAAGGAACAATGTGGCTTCTGCAAAAACTATTCTACCATTGACGCACTCTTCACTCTCTTAACCGATATTTGTAATACGAAAAATCAAAAACAACATATTATACTTATATCCCTGGATTTAGAAAAAGCATATGATATGGTATGGAGAACTAGAGTCCTCAAACTCATACAAAATAGTGGCATAAACGGTAAAATGTTCCTATTCTTGCAAAATTTCATAAAAACCCGAACAATTCAAGTCAGAGCTCACGCAGAACTATTAAAAATCCACCAAATAGAAAACGGACTCCCTCAAGGATGAGTTATTAGTGTCACAATATTTTTATTAGCTATCAATGATATTTTCACCAATATACCTAAACCCACGAAACACTTACTATTCGCCGACGACTGTCTTATATACTGTAGTGGACAAAACACCAAAACGACAGTAGAAATATTACAAAAATCTCTATATACTCTCCAAAATTGGTCTCATAAATCTGGCTTCAAATTTTCCGCTAGAAAAAGTCAGTGTATTACTTTTGGTATCAATCCTAAAAGTAACATCCAATTATACCTCGAAAACTCCCTGATACCTATTTGTGAAACAATCCGCGTACTTGGAATGACATTTGATAACAAACTTAAATGGACCCCACACTTAAAAAAACTTAAAAGCACTTATAAAATCCGAATGAACATCTTAAAATTTCTTTCCCATCATACATGGGGTGTCAGCACGAAATCACTTATCACAATCTACAAATCTCTTATATTATCACAAATACAGTATGGGTTTCAAATTTATATTACAGCCAAAAAAAATCTTTTACAAATATTAGATCCAATTCATAACGAGGGGATTCGTCTATCAATAAGAGCTTTCAGAACCAGCCCCACTGACAGCATCCTATGCTACGCTGGAGAACTCCCCCTTAACTTACTCAGAGAAAAAGACCTACTATACTACGGAATAAAAACGAAAAGCACTCCTGACTATATAGGGTATAACAACATACAACATAACTATATAGGGTATAAATCCGCACAAGGCGTTGGCTTTGCAATCACTCAAGACAATATCATATTCATGCACAGACTCCCTCCTGAAACCTGTATATTCTCAGCTGAATCGCTAGCCATCTATTACATTAGCAAATACAGTCATCTCTAATCACATTTTAATTTTAAGTGACACACTCAGTTCTCTTCAAAATCCTTTACCTTCAAATGAAATTATCCAAAATATACAACAAATATTAAAATCAACCAAAAAATACATCGAATTTATGTGGGTACAATCACACGTTGGTATAACTAGTAACGAAATGGCTGACAAGGCAGCTGATCTTGCAACCAGAATCATTCCCCACCCCAAAATCTCCAACTTACCTACTAATGACATAAAATCCAAGATATACTCTAAGTGGCAAAATTATTGGGATGCCATTCCACCGACCAATAAAATTAAAAAAATTAAGAAAGATACAAAAAAATGGGTCTCCCCTCACTACCTCACCAGATGACAAGAAATTGTTATCACCAGATGTAGGATCGGACACACCTTGCAACCCATTCATTCCTCATCAGAAAAAATCACCCAACCATTTGTGACAAATGCCACACCGATATTTCAGTCCACTACATCATCCAAGTTTGTATGAAGTACCGGGACATAAGAATCAAACTCTCTATATCACCGAACAATGAAGAAGCCCTCAATGAAAAGAACACCAGCAAAATTATCTCATTTCTAACCAAAATCAATTACATTAACAAACTCTATTATTGTAAAATGTTTCCTTAATCTCTCTAAGTTACAATACCTAAAATTTGTTATTTATTCTAATTAATTAATCTTCCTTTATTCATTTATTCTATCATTTGTATCTAAACTACTTTAGACTAATAATCTACGATGTTAAAGCCTATTTCTAATAAAAAAAAAAAAAAAAAAATAAAAGGTATCTATAAAAAAACAAATCAAAATAAAATTTACAAAATTTATGAGACACTAGTCAAACGATCGTGTGGTGACGTAAATAACACACCGCGAATCGACCAAGTTGTTTACAATATTATCAGTGGATAAGGGGAAATCCCATGTTCTAGAATATGCGATGATTATCTCGTTAAGGTAATTTCGAGAATGTTCTAGACAATCGACGCCGATATATATATATATGTATATATATATACCGGCTGGTTAGATGCTCATTCAATCAGTCCGTGAGTACAATCCGCGATATATTCGGCAATTCCTCCGCAATTGTAACGCGTATCGATATTTGTACATACATATTTATATAATAAAGTGTCTATTTAATTAAATTAAATTGTGAGTGATTTTTATTACTGAAATCCCACAAATTGGTGATCTCGTCGTGATGGCGCAACGATTGCTCGAGTGGCCGTCAAAATACCAGATTCCATTTCGTCAGATCCCGAACTTTGGTTTGCTATGGTCGAAGGTAGTTTCGCCAGCGCGGGAGTCACAGCTGACAGCATGAAATTCGGGTATGTGGTTGGAGCATTACCGCCGAAATATGCAGTTGAAGTCAAAAACATAATTATGACGTCGCCCTCGGACACTACATTGACGACATATTGGTGGCATCTGTTTTTGAGGAAGAGCACATCAAACATTTACAGATCATTTTTGACCGTCTACGCGAATACTCTCTGGTTGTCAATCCAAAAAAATGCGTTTTTGGACAGTCAGAAGTAAAGTTTTTAGGCTACATGATTTCTAGAGAAGGAACACGTCCTCTACCCGACACAGTCACTGACATTTTGAGCTAGAAGAGGCCATCGTCCGCTAAGGGTCTACGACAGTTCTTGGGTATGATAAACTTCTATCGTCGTTTTATACCTGGAGCTTCAGACGCACAAGCACCACTAAGTGATCTTTTGGTACCCAATTTAAAAGGTAAGTCACCTATTAACTGGACACCAGAGGCTATTTCGGCTTTTGAAAAATGCAAGGAGAAACTCGCCACAGCCACGCTTCTCGCACATCCATGCGACAACGTTCGACTGGCTATTATAAGTGATGCTTCAAACACCGCAGTTCGCGCAACTCTCCAACAGTTCATCAATAATGAGTGGCCACCTCTTGCCTTCTTTTCCAAGAAGCTTACAGCGACCGAGACGAAATACGGAGCTTACGATCGAGAACTTCTCGCGATCTACCTTGCTGTCAAGCATTTTCAGTATATGGTGGAAGGACGCGATTTGGTTATATTCACCGATCACAAATCCATCACATTTGCATTTCAGCAGAAATCGGATAAATGCACACCACGACAATTTAGACACCTAGACTTTTTCTCACAATTCACCACGGATATTAGGTATATTCCAGGTAAGCAGAATATTGTGGCTGATACCTTATCTCGCGTTGACGTCTTGTCAGAGACAATAGACTACACTGCATTAGCGATATCACAACAGGAAGACGATGAATTAAAAAAATACGAAAAATAAAACACTGGACTACAACTCAAGCAAGTTCAATTACTAGGTACGAATGTCTTAGTATTCTGTGACGTATCAACTTCAACCGCCAGGCCTTTTGTCAGAAAGCCATTCCGACGTAAAGTTTTCAATAATTTACATCGCTTTGTACATCCAGGTGTCAAGGCCACGACGAAGCTTGTTAAACAGCGATTCGTGTGGCCAGCAATTGACGCAGATTGCAGACATTGGGCGAGGGCATGTGTACAAAGTCAACGAGCCAAAATCACGTGCCATGTCACAGCACCTCTTGGTTCATTTTCTTTACTGTCTCAAAGATTTGAACGTATTCATTTAGATCTAATCATTATGCCTTATTCTGAAGGATTTCGCTATTGCCTCACGTGTATCGATAGATTTACTCGATGGCCTGAGGTAATTCCATTGGAAGATCAAGAAGCGGCAACCGTAGCACGAGCTTTCTATACGC